GGCAACCACCTGCCGAATCCGGGGTGTTACAATCTTACCACCTTAGGAAAGAGCCGTCCTCGGCTCTGGAATATACAGCCTCAAATCTCCGACGTTCCCTTCCCCTAGTGAGACAAGTATCTGGTGCAACCATCACCCCCACCGGGCTAGGCGCCTTTCCAGCATACTCTCCCACCCTTGACAGGTGAACCGTCGTCGGCTCTGATACCATCTGTAACGATCCGACTCATATAGGCACCGATATTGTCCTCACTTGCAGACGTCCGACAGTGTGAGGTTTTTAGGGGCAGGAGCCTACTTTCGAAGAGGTCACCCATCCTGAGACTACTCCCACCCGAACACGCTTAATTTCGGAGTTCTTTCGAACTCTGAAGCCACGTGTTCTCAAAAGGCCTCGGTGTCAATATATGACGGATCTATACCTATATTCCAAAGTCAGGACATGCCACCCCTAAGCCTGGTAGGACCCACCCATTGGCAACCACCTGCCGGATCCAGGGTGTTACACATATTCTTGTAACTTTATAAGTCGGTTATGTAAAAGTTATGAATAGGGGAACTGGTCCTTTGTTGGGTATCAACTATCAAGTTGAGTTGGAGTGTTTGTGTGACATTTTCAGTTTGATAAAGAACAAGTGTTAAAAGTCTTGTACCTGTACCCATCTATTTCATCAATAAAGAGCAAACTCTTCTGTTTGTTACAGATTCCTTTACAATGACTACACCCATGAGATTAAGTTGCTTTCTCTAGCTAGTAGTACAGGTCTTCAACCCATATTTGGCAACAATGACTATCTTCAAAGAAAGTCCTTCTCGGCTTCATATCTCCATAGCCTATTAAGAGTTTATCTCATATGTAAAAGATGTCGAGAGATCCATTCTAATTAGGTATATAAACTTCTTCCCTTAGAGACTATACTTCAGATTCTCATCCATGATAGGCCTTACTAAGGTGAAGGAGTGGAGCTATTCAGTTTTTTAGTTGTGGACCACTTCTCAAATATGGAAATGGAACACTTCATCCGTAGTAGAAAGTAGAAAGGCATCCAGTGCAGCCCAGGGAGCTCATCTTTACTTCCGTGATGTTGTAAAGCTCCCCGGAATCTTTGGTGCATAGCTGAGAAAGTGTTTTGCTCTATCTCAAGCTGAGATCAGTTATAATAATTCTGTTAATAGTCTGTAGATTTCTTTATACTTGTTTACTTGCTAAGAAAGTTGACAAATTCGCTTACAAATCAAATTCATAAATAAAACATATGTTATTTTCCTGATATGTGAGGTATGATATAACCACACAGTTTCTTATTGGATGCATGAGTGTAGCTCCAGCAATACAAGCTAGGAAGACTGGAAAAAAAAAAAGAGGAAATGTTTGTTGTGTCAGACTCGAGGTTTTCCCAAAAAGCTTTGCTAGTCGCAGAATTAGATTAGATTTCTCTAAAGGGAAACGATTAGTTTTGTGTTGATTTTGGACTTTCAAGAGAATTCAAACATAATTGATAGGTTTTTTTTAGTCAGGGTCCGATGAGATATGGATTCATCAAAAGCCAAGATTTGAAATTGAACAGATTGGCCATCTAATGTGCAAAGAATCACATGATAAAGATAAAGCTCAAAAATCTAGAATAAGTGTATATATCTTCTTAATCTCGTGAAGTGTGTTTCTTCACTTTTTTCTGGGTGCGGAAAATTTGGAATCTGAAATGTAATGGTATATACTAAAATTCAGAATAAAATATACTACTGATTAAATTTAAATGAGTAGAAAAGATTAATCTTTAAAAATGAAATCTTCATTATTCTTTTGATTACATTCAGACCCATATGCTAGCATCATGCCGTTGCCACCTAAGAATCCACATGGCTTCCACGTCACAAGATGTTATTTTGATCCATGCAGACTTGCTATCGCCATAGTACCTCCATTTTCCATATACCAGACCAGGCATGTCGCCGCAATGAAGACTTGTTTTCTCTATGAGTCCACTTAAGGTAGCCACCATCAACTTTCACAATTTTTTTTATGGTAAAACCCATCAAACTTCAATTTGAAGGCTCAAAGTCTAATCCACCATGGACTAATTAAATATCTAAAGGGTACAATATTAAAAAAAAAAAATTCTTGTAAGGAAGTTTTGAACCCACAACCTTTGAGCCAATGGCTCATTTGATAAAAATATTTTGGACTCGATTCCTTCATTTTATCCTTGCACAGAGGCCATGTGAATCTTCTCTGTATTGCTTCAAGTTTATGGGATGTTCCCAAAGGTACATCAATATGTTCTGTAGTCTTCTTTTGGTTGCTTGTGTTTTCGGTTTGGGCTGTTGTTGGTTCTTTAAGATTTTTAGCTTATAGGCTAAGGGGTCTATGAACAATTTTCTTATGACCATGACCCAACTTGTAACAAGCTTATATTGCACATGCTTCTGTGGAAGCTTGTTATGGATATATTGGTCTGTAAGTTCTTATCTGACCAAATCTGTTCATAATCTTAGGTGTCGAGGAGTATATTGCAACTACCATAAACCAGTAAGCATGGCCTCTTTATGTCAATTTGATGTAACTTTTTATTGTAGCCAATTAGCAATATTACATCTATGGTTTTCCTTGCAGAATACATCCCAGAAGTATTCTGTTACGCGCACTGAACTGAAGGGAGGGTAGGTGCTTCTTCTGTAATGTTCCAGCTTTCCTTGAAACTGGAAATAGAAAAAACATTTCTACAGATCTGTTTACCATTGTGGTTGTTTCTATTCTAATTGGATTTCTTAACATCTGTGATATTGTTTCAGGAACTTAAATAGAGCCTTTAGGGATAATTATCGCCCAGAAGGCATTTACATGGTTGACCCTCTAGCTGAACGTAGAAACTTGAAAAGGCAGCATAACCAGCCAGTGAAGTTGTTGTCTGTGGATGGATTAAAGAAAGCCTTAAGGTGTGTCATGAATCCTTGATTTTATAGTTGTTTTAAATGTTTGATTTTCTATTGGCTTCAAAATGCTTTTGCTCTAAATTCACTCAACAATGACTCTTCGTACAGTGGGAAAGTAACAGTTCTCCACTTGTTAAGCTCATTAACTCTTCCTACTTGGCACAACTGTGTATGCCTTACAAGCATCATGTGAGCAAGCTATCTAGTTCTAGTGTTTTCAAGAGGTTTGGAGCTTTCTTGCTAAAACTGTCCACTAAGATTCATGGAATGTAGGGAAGCTCCATTGAAATTTCACAGCCATCACATACCCTCATTGGTCTTAAAAAAATATGGCATCCCCACATTCCAACCATGTTTTGGATGGAATTATCAACACAACAAATCCGCATACAAAGGACCCTGACATCAAGAGTTGGACCTTTGTGATACGCTCAACTTCTGTAACTTGACATTTCATTCAGAAATCTCTCTCTCTCTCTCTCTCTCTCTCTCTCTCTCTC